GACCAGGGCCATCCTGAAAATGGAGCACAGACACTCCTTTTACTGAAATCTCCTGTGCTGCTAATGAAAGGGCTGCAACGAATGTTTGTTGACTGTATCTGGGCATGTGTTTTAAGTGCCGGGAGGTTTTTTTTCATGTGAAAAGCACAGATTCCTTTTCACAGTCTGTGCATCTTAGAACAGGTGCCATGGAGGTAGAGAGAGATGACAGATGACGGCAACTTCATCAGCAGCGAAGCCAGACCTTTAGAAATTGGCATCTTAAGCTTAATTGTTACTGATCTTCCCCTCAGCGATATGTGATGTCCTACATCTTCAGGATACAATTCTTGAATGTCTGGTTGTCTTTCACTCTCGACTACCTTTTTGGCACCTGGAGACACTGGAATTAAATACATTGTGAAGTATCATTTGGAAATACTATAGCTGCTTGCTTTTTTTTTTTTTTTGAAGAGAATCTGGCTCAACATTTTTAAAAGGAAAACGCTACAGTATCAAAAAGGATGTTATAGAAGCCATTCCATTGGCTCATTCCCCCCTAATTTAACTTTGAGGAAAAGTTTACTATTTGGACTCATCTGAATTACACATATCTAACTGCCTTCCTATTTATCAGAATTATGCTTGCAAATGAATGAACAGTGAAGACCAGGCATTGAGCATAAGGTGTTTTGTAAACACATAGAAACACTTTTTCTTTGAATTAAATAGTATCTTTTTGGTGTATTCTTGTTTGCATGTCTTAAACTTTGCAAGGGAGGGAAAAAGATATATGATTAAAATTAGACCTTGAAAATTGTTAGTGAAAATTTATTCTGCAATGTTATTGCATAAATTATTGTAAACCTTTTGCTGTGTTTTTTCTGTTATTTATAGGCATCTTGCAGGTGACATCTGGAAAATTTCTAATTAACTGAACATGATCTATTTGATTTAGTATAAATGATGATGTTTGCTTGGTATTAAAACAATTAAGTTTTTCTTATGAGTAATTGAATTGTCTTTGGCCGTACAAGTTCACATTGACATTTAAGCATTATAAATTGATTTGCGATTTTATGCCTTGAAGACAATCTTTTAAAAAATATATATTTCAGGCAAAATGGCATGAGGACAGAACAGTTTAAATCTGGACATTTTGGAAGTAGTAGTTCTAATGTCTGCCTGGTCAGTGTTGAGTGTTGAGTGGTGCATCAACTTTTTCATGCCACTAGGGACCATCTACCAAAATCCTCAAGTGTCTGTTGACTGTAGCAAGTTCCTTGGGACCATCAGTAGGAATACACTTACAATATATTAAATACATTTTCTATTTATTAAATATCAATACAGCTATTTATAATGTCCATGTAGTATACCACCATAATCACCCCAGACAAATGACAGAAACTCATAAAATAATCCTGCATAGAAATTCTCATTTTAGCACTTTAAAATATTCCATTATAAGATACTTTCCAGTACTTTAAAATACATCATCCTTTTAAAAGTTGAGAGCATTATTTTTAAAGGAAGTGAAAATATTTTTTAAAAGCATTTCAAACAGCTTCATCATCATAATCTTCCCTATAAGAGTTCATAGATAGCATCTAGCAGTAGTAGAAAAGTATTTTTACAGGTCAGAGGCCATGCTTATTTTGATGCATGGAAATGCAAGACAAATGTCCAATCATGAGGATAACAATCAGATAGTACGTAGTGGCTGTATGGCTCTAAGTTGGGAACTACTTTTAGGGCCTTAGACCTGTACAGGTTTGTTGCTGAACACAGATGTGTAGAGAGTACCTCCGGGGGCTGCAGCCATTTAATTTTGTCAGGTGACTGGTAGGTAATGGAATCCTTAGGACAAAGGTAAGAGGAGTTGACTTATGGGGATAGAGATCCGTATGAAAAAGAAGAGTTCAAAATTCTGGTTTCAAAGATGGGAAGATGTATTTGAAGAGCATGTGGGTATTTTTAAACATATGAAGTGTTTTGAAGTAACATTTCTTTTTTTTCTTTTACTCTCTCTCTCCTTTTTTTTTTTTTTTTTTTTTTTTTAGTGCACACAGCAGTGATCCCCAACCTGTTTGGGCTGCAAAATGGCATTGAGTATGTTTCATGGTGCCTCCAAATTTCTGCAGGACATTTTAATATGTATTAGTTGGAACTTATTAAAATTGGCAAATGTTTTTATTTAGAAGATTGGATGGTTTAGAGACCTCTCTTTTTATCACACAGAAGCCACAGAATACTGCAAAATCATGCTGATGATCAGTAGCCAACAGATTAACATAATAGCAAAGGAGATACAAAGAACTGTTATCCCAGCCTCTGGTAGTATTCCATGACATCATCAAAAGCATAAAGTGATGACGGTGCAGTTTTCAAAGATGCAATTACTTTAAGCATCTCTTGGGCAAGAAAGGAACAAATTAATCTTATTGCTAGTCATTTAATAAACTGCACATTCATCATAGCCATTAATCCCTAACTGCTGTTTTTCAGCATTTTATGGCTTTGTTTTTAGAACTCTTTTTCCTGGAGATGGCAATATCTATTCCATTAACACAAGAAAAGAGGCACTGTTGTTTAATAAAGGGGTACAAGCGGAAATCCAGCTGATGTCCTCACTAACCATTTTTACTTTTTGTAACGGTGCTCTGTGCTAGGTGGCTGGATGCATACACTGCCAGGAGAGACTGTTCCTTTCACACATTAGGGATGATATAACATGGCCTGACAACTTGATTCTAGTTATCCTCCTTGTAATTGTGGGGGGGGGGGGCGGGGGGTCAGCTTGGGTCTTGTTTGTTTTATTTGGGGGAAAAGGCTCAATAAAACAATCATTAAAGACATATATGGTCTGAAAATACTAGATCGATGTTCCAATATTAATCGTGTGGCTAAATGTTCAGTAAGAGAAAATCCACAATCTGCTTAGAAGCAAACTCTCAAGGCACAACCCCTTGCATATATCCAGTAATCAATAATGGATCAATACTAATAATTATAACATGGAAAACACAAATAATGAATATATTCATCAATCCCTTTATCTATGAAATCTTTCACCTTAGGAAAAAAGTTCTATTTGAGACACCTCTGGGATAAATGCATGAACTGTGGAGCCTGGCTCCTGGTTCGCAGCCCTGAGTTCACCACTTGTGAGCTGTGTGAATTTGGGGAAATTACTTGACTTTCAAGGAGCTGTGAGACGGACCCCGCGTGGCCAGCCCTGTGCCTGGAGCTGAGGCCACCTACGGGAAAACACATTATTATTATTTTTTTTCTAGCTGAACAGCCTATATCACCAGGAGAGATATTTTCCTAATTTACCCAAAGGCATGGATTATGCTAACTTTGAGGCCCTGCATATTAAGCTCTTGATAAATGTCAGGCTACTATTATGATTCTTATTTCTTTAAGAGTCATAACCACTCTCACTTTTTTTAAAATATATTTTTTTATTGATTTCAGAGAGGAAGGGAGAGGGAGAGAGAGAGAGAGAGAGAGAAACATCAATGATGAGAGAGTATCATTGATCAGCTGCCCCCTGCTGGGGCTAGAGCACGCAACCCAGGCATGTGCCCTTGTCTGGAATCAAACCCAGGACCCTTCAGTATGCAGGCCAACGCTCTATCCACTGAGCCAAACCAGCCAGGGCCACTCTCACTTTTTAGGAAAGAAAGCATTAATGTCCTCAATGTCCCCACAGTTCAAGTCGAACTCTGGGATTCCAAGCCAGTTCTGATTGATTGAATGCTTGCAATCTTGAGTCACACAAATGGTTTACCATTTGTTATTTAGATCTTGATTTTAAATATTAGAATTTTTTAATTAAAAAAGGAATCTCATTTCCTTGTCAGGAAGCGTGTGGTATTTCCTAGCTGGAGAAGTAGGGCTTGCAGCTGCACCACCATTCAACAAATGACCCAAGACTGCCGTTTTGTTTTGTTTACCAATGTAGGAAATGGATTCCAGCACATCTTAGTAGTGCACTATGCAGCTCATTGCATCATACAATCTCTGCTGCAAAAATGAAGGTTATTATTACAAAACATTTTTATAAGGAAAATTCTTAAGAAGTTGGTGTAATATTGAACCCTGAAAGCAGAACATGGAATCCATAGCTTTCCCTTTCTTTCTAGTTTGAAAGTGTCAGCATTGCCATCAGAGGTCATGTGACACTGTATATTGTAGTATCAGCATACTTAGTGTGATTTTGAGGGGACTAAGAAAGAATGATGAAAAACAAATTCGTTCGTGCAATTCTGATAAAATGTTTGAAATCCAGTCAGTCTCTGGTTTGGGTTTATCATGTAAATCCTCTTTTGTACAACTTTTTCTGGGCCACCTAAGGTAGGCCATAACTGAACAATAGGAATTCATAAAATGTCTTGTACATTTTACTGAATAATGGGATATAAATTCAATATTGAGTTAATATCGATAATATATGATTATAGTATGAGGTCTAAGGAAAATGTTATTACTTTCCTAGCACACTGACGACTCACCTGTCAGAAAGTTAATACATATAAGCAAAATAACACCAAGATCCCTTTCTGTTCAGGAAGAAGAAAGTAAAGTGCAATGCATTTATGAGTTTGGCCCCACTTTTACATTATTGCCAAAAGTATTGAAAACTCTGCCAATGTTTAGCTCTAAAGGAATTTTAATGACTAAGAAAAAAAGACAAAGTCATATATTCATGGAAGTAGTAGCATAGTCTTGGCTCTGATATTGATCGGAATGTTTATTTTAATAGGCAATCCTGAGAATGATCTCTAAATAAAAGTTCCCGGGTACATATGTAGGTGTGTGTGTGTGAAACCAATAGATGTAGGCTCCTAGGTAGAAGGTCTTTTCTCCCTCTTGTAAATAAGCCAACAGGCAAAGGATATTTCTCACTACAGATGCTAAGTAACATTTAGTAAATTATTGTTAGATAGTATCAAGTTAGCCTTCATGTAGCAAAAGCTGTTACACTGTTATCTGAGTATTTACCTGAATATGTAATGGGTAGTAGACTAGTCGATAGAAGGTTAGATGAAGTAGATGGAATAGATGGAAGATTAGAACTCCTGTATTTCAAAGCGGTGGGTGGAAGATTTTATCTGAATATAACATTTAGAAGTACGAGAAAAGGAAATTCTCTCTGTGGTCTCACAGAATGAGAAGGGAGGGAACCATAATGGTTCTCTAGGAATATTAGCCTTTACAGAAGTGGGAAAAGTTGCTTCCCGCAGATCCGTATTAATGGGACTTTTCTGGGAATCAGGGCAACATCTGTTTCCCAGCTGTTGGGAGTTCCACTGCATTACAGGGCAATGTGGTAAGCTGAAATGACAGCGAGCAGTTCAATAGCTACTTCTTTTGCTGCAACATGGACTGAGTTTGCCTGAGAAGGTGGAAATCAGTAGTGAAGTACAATTGGATGTAAAGAAATTTACAGCATCAGCTTTAACTGACTATGATATATGTATAGCATTAAAAAACTGCAATGTTTCCATAATTTCATGGAAACTGCCATGCTAGATCTGAACTGTTAGTGACTTTTCAGTGCAAAATCTGTGGACACAGTTGATATTCAATCAATACACTTTGGAGTCAATGTCTATCTGTAGTTGGTAATTGGCCACTGTCCCTATTCTCAGAGAGATCCCTGCAATGCAGCCACACGGTCTCCACCCCCTGGCCCAGGACTCCTGGACCACTCCATCAGCCACAGCCACAGCCACAGCGAGCATCAGATTGGTTCTCATCCAGGGCCTGGGCAGTATTAGTTGTTAATTATTTTAAATATAACCCCTGCCTATGGATTTTCTCTTATTATTATTATTTCTCTACAGACTGACATTTATACTTGGCTAATAGCTAAGAGTGTCATTAGGAATTTTCTCATGACACCAAAAGCTGTCATGCATTTAATTAGAAGCGCTATCTTCATTTTATAAATAAGTTTAGTCTCATCATTTTTGTACCCTCATCATAAATAATAAATATGTGCTGCATATATTTTTAATATAGGAAAGATAATGAGCAGAGACTTTTGGCATACAAATCATACATATGAATCCTCTGAATGTGTATATATTTGTTATATAAATAACTTTTACTTATTAAAACTTCTGGCTAATCAATTTTTTTTTTAATTTGGCGTTTTGACATCTTGCAAAACAATCTTGTTGGACAAGGTTAATATTTTAAAAGAACTGGAATCAAATCCAAGACTGAGATTTCTCAGAATGAAAAACTAAACAAATTGAAACCTCAAGGGAATGCAGTTGAGAGATATTTTGAAACTTAGAAGTATGTAAAGGATGCAGAAGATGAAAATGGAAACAGAGCTTGATTTAAAAATATAGACATGAAAATCACTAGGCTTCATGGCATTTTTAGCATATTACCAGAAGTAAAAATATAGGCATAAAATCACGAGGTTTAATAGCATTGTTAAAATATTACCAGAGACACTTTTTAATAATGAAGTCATCTCAAAACCTAATAATAGACTAGGAGAAAATTTTTTTAAATAACAATTGTGCTAGAATCAATCATTGGGACTTCCATAATCATCTCTCAAGGAAAGTTTCTGACGGATTTGTCCATTTGAAGTCTCTTTAATTCCGGTTTCCCGAGGGCATTCATACCTGCCTGCTATTTTTCATTAACAAATAGTTGGGGCAGTCTGCTAATTTGTTCATATGATTCAATGTGTTGCTCCTGGGTCCAGATCAGGGTTAATGAGACAGAGGACAACTGGCTGTCATTTTATTAGTTGGCTGCTCTCTGCTTGTGTCAAGTTATTGGATGCCTGTCACTCAAACACTGTTGTGAGGTGAATGGCCTTGTGCTGATTTCCGCTCCCTCCTGCCTCTGCGTGTGATCAGAGGTGATCAGTTGCTGACTCGGGGAGAAGGGATGTGCTACCAGCACTGGCTCGGTGTGATACACTGTGATTAAGAGTGTAAACCTGCGATGCTTTATTTTGTTCCCAGTGTTTAAGTACAATAACACCTCCAGCCCCCATAACTGGCAACTTTTCTGGCTCAGATACAAAATTAAATACACAGTGAAAAAAGCCTTCAATCTCAAGAGAAATAATGTTCATGCAGATGAACCATAAGAAAGCAGTAAAACTTTCTGCTTAATTTCTTAGCATAAAGTCATTTCACTTAATTTTACATAAAATAGTATGATAGTCTATTTGCCAAGGCTAAACCTAAGCTGAAATCAGACAAAGACTAAGTAGGTCATGGGCAGCAGGTTGGAGATAAGGAACAGGGACAGAGAGGGGTTCCTGGCAGTTTGTGAAGTTGACAACCAGAGGTGAGAGGTGAACCAAAGAAGATAATGAGAAACAAAACAGCTTGACCATTGGAGAGAGTTTGTATCATCTTGCTTACATGTTTGGGGGTAAAACGGGGGAGGGTGTAAATAAAATATTCCATTGCTGGTAGAGTTAGCTAAGTCCCATACACTATGGCTTCATTATGACCTGATATGATCATGCCTATTCAGTTGACATCAGGAAAATTCATTCTGCTTAATATGTAGGCGTATGTGAAATTCAATTTTGAGAGTGGTTTTTAAATCAAACTTTTTGTTTTGTTGCCTATGTGTTTAAGTCATCTGATGTTCGTTCGTTTGTTTGCTTGCTTTTCAGGCCAAAAGGTGTGTTTTGCTGACTACCAGCACCCCTGCTACAAACTGGCCTATTTCCAGGAACTGTCCAGCCGAGTGAGCTTCCAGGAGGCGCGCCTGGCTTGTGAGAGTGAGGGGGGAGCCCTGCTCAGCCTGGAGAACGCAGCAGAACAGAAGTTGATAGAAAGCATGTTGCAAAACCTGACAAAACCAGGCACAGGGATTTCTGATGGCGATTTCTGGATAGGCCTCTGGAGGAGTGGAGAGGGGCAAGCGTCTGGTGCCTGCCCAGACCTCTACCGCTGGTCTGATGGCAGCAGCTCCCAGTACCGGTGAGTCGGCTCCTGGGGGAGATTTCTCTTCCCTGTAGGATGTCAGAATAGAACAGGTGACATCGCTTAAAAGTGTTCCTGTTGCTCTATACAGAGTAGGACAAGAGTAGGTTTTCAGTATGTGGAACACAGTTCTGGTGTTACTATTTATTAATCATTGTGTTGTTTTATTAGTCATTGTATTATTATTAATCATTGTATTATTATTTATTAATTAATGCATTGTTATTTATTAATTACTGCATTATTTTTCTGCACGAACAATTGTAATCCTACTTTTGCTGCACCCTTTATTTCCAGAAACTGGTATGCTGATGAACCTTCCTGTGGAAGTGAAAAGTGCGTTGTGATGTATCATCAACCTACGGCCAATCCTGGCCTTGGAGGCCCCTACCTTTACCAGTGGAATGACGACAGGTGCAACATGAAGCACAATTACATCTGCAAGTATGAACCAGGTAGGATGTATTGTAAACTGACATTAACAGATGTTGTGCCTATCTGCTTGTATTGTCTTATCTGTAAGCTTTGCTACCTTTGGCTCTTTTTATTTTTCTTCTGTGAAACATCACTGTACTCTGCAGCTTGCCCTGTCATGCAGTGTACTGAAGCACACTGTGGGCCACAGGACAAGCTGCCACAGAGTTAGGACCAGAGTACCTAGAGACTATAGAAACTAGCATCACTAGAAATAGAAACTACAGTCACTAGAAATAGAACTAGGGAGTACCCAGGAACATCTGGGAAGGTGTCTTTAAGAGGAAATAATCATTTCCAAGATTAAGGTCAAATTGTGTTTGAAAAGTAAACATCTATTTTAAAATATCTCTCTATATAAAAGCCTAAGCGATGAAATTACCGAACGACCGAACTCCCGGTCACTATGACATGCACTGACCATCAGGGGGCAGATACTCAATGCAAGAGCTGCCTCCTGGTGGTTAGTGCACTCCTATAGCCAACCTCCGAGGCCAGCCAACCTCCCGCAACCCCTCCCTCTGGCCAGCTAACCTCCTCTGGCTCCTTCCCCCGGCTGGCCAACCTCCCGCAGCCTCGATGGGCCCTGATCGCCAGTCAGGCCAAGGGACCCCATCTGTGCACGAATTCATGCACTGGGCCTCTAGTTTTAAATATTTAGTATGGTGTGTGTGAAGGAGGTATGTCACCAAAGCACCTATAGATTTACACATCTGAGCAACAGTTCTTTGGGTGATCATCTGGGGAATTTAAGGGATCAAAGGAACATTACCTTATGATTTCATGGCATGATTCTTGACACATGCTCTTCAGTGAATATCAAACTGGTCATAGCTCATTGAACCAATAATCATGAAAAAAAGTAGGGACGTGTGCCATGTTCTTGCTGTGATCCTCATTCTTTGAAATATGCCTCCTTAATCAGCTTTTGCTTCAAGTCTCTAATTCGTTGCCCTATGCAGCTAATGAGAAGATTACATTGACCTAAGCTACCGCAGTGTAGTTTCCTATGGAAATAGTGATTTGAATTACTTTGAATAAGACAGCTCAACTGAATTGATATTTGACCAAAAGAGAGATTAATCAAAACTGTATAAACTCGTTTTTAAAAATAACTTAAGAAAGTCAAATTAGATACTTAGGCTTTGGGGTTTCTTTTGGTGCTATTTGTCTCCTCAGTGTTTGGAAATACATTTTAACTCTTCTGTCTACTTGACCTCATGTACTCATGGAAGGCAATCATAATCAAGTGCTGCTATTTCCATTATTCTCTTGAAATTACATGATTCCTTTTTCTCATAAGACCATGAAGCACAAGGGATTAGTTGAATTAGATTTACTCCTCTGTCATGTTTATCCTGCTCTTGAGTGTATTAGCCAACTTTCTTTCCCTGGTGAGTTTATTCTTTAGCAGCCCCTAGGTTGCTAAATTCATCATTATCCTTTTAGAAGCCTTTACAAAGCTAAATCTGTTACACTTTTATGGTTTTTATCTTCTTTTTTTTTCTTAAAAATATAAAGTTGAAATTCTCTGGTAGTTTCTATTTGCAACTGTATGTACTCAAAACAGATTATAACAGATTATAATCTGTTAATATAAACAGATTATATTATAAAATCTTCTTAATACAATATTGTCTTCTTCTCTGACAATATTTATTCTTCTTTTATTTTTTTAAATATATTTTTATTGATTTTTTACAGAGAGAAAGGGAGAGGGATAGAGAGTTAGAAACATCAATGAGAGAGAAACATCGATCAGCTGCCCCCTGCACACCTCCCACTGGGGATGTGCCCGCAACCCAGGTACATGCCCTTGACCGGAATCGAACCTGGGACCCCTCAGTCCACAGGTGAACGCTCTATCCACTGAGCCAAACCAGTCAGGGCTTCTCTGAGCTTTTAGATGAAAAATTTGACCTAAGTGTATTTGTTTATTTTATTTTATTTGTTTATTTTGGCCTTCATAGTTACATTATTCAGAACACTATAATCTCAGAATCTTCTTGACTTGTTTTGTATTAGATAATCTAGGTTTATATTACTCATGAAGAGCATTATAGACATAAAATTATTTTTTCCTTTATCTCCTATATTCTACCTAAATCTTCAAATATTTATACTTTGTGAACTTATGGTTAGCTTTCTAGTGGTGAGGGACTTGGAGGATTAAGCAGTGGGCCTACTTAAAATTTATAAATTATAACACAAATTATTTTGAACTATAATTATTTCTCTAACTATACCAGAACTACTGTTTAATTTGGACTTAGTCTTCTCTTTCTGCTCCAACATACCATCTAAGCATGACTAATCATATTTAAAGTGAATAATTTACTTCTGAGTTTGCCTATTCTCTTCGCCATCATTTTTGTTATTGTCCAAAGAGCTGCATATCTATTCTATAGGTCTACCAATGTTACCCAATGCACTTTTATGGAGATATGTCTGAATCTAATTTTTGTATTTACTAAATTGCACTATATACTCTTGTTCTTAGACATTAAAAATAACATGTATGGAATTATGTTTCTAAAATGTCATTATTTAATCAGCAACTGCATTAAATTAAAATTTATTAAAATTATTTAATAGATAATTTTCTGTGTTAAGATGAGTTCTGTGTTAAGCAATTACATAATATCTGTATTATTTGTTCAGCAAATACCAGTTGAGATAGGCGTAGAGTGCCTAACTGAATTCTGCAGAAGAATGAGTGTAGGGTAGGACTGTATCTGAAACCTAGTGGAGCCTATTAAAGGGTCAGGGTGAAATATGTTCATAAGGATAGTAAATATTATTACAGGATGGTATATGATTAAACTCCCAATGAATAGAGACTATGTGGTCAATCAGAGTACTAATCATTACATTGAAATGATTTACTATTCTGAAATGAATATAAGATGCTGCATATGAGCTTTTCTTTGCATCACTTGACAAAAATAAATAGGAAATTATATTTTTGGAACAAATAAAAATAAATTTACAGGGAATTTTCTTAATAATTTAATATAGTCACTGAACTATTAATTTAACAAATAAGACCTAGAAAAAATTACGTGATAGAGCAGTACCAGGTCCTAGTAAGATTTTCAGTATCTTTTACGGGCATGGAATTGAGGAGATCTCATCTCATAGAACCAGGGAAAGAAATAACTCACAAGCCTTAGTTTATTAGCATATTTTAAAAAGAGGTAGACACTATTAGAAATAATATCTAATAATGGCATTATTTGTATAGGATAGAAATGTGCTTAGAACATTATTTGAGTCATCAATTCCAAATGCAATCCATATGGAATCTCCTGCTGACTATTATTGTGAGGAGGAACCTAAATATTACACTGATATTAGTACCAAAATCATCTTTGCTTGCTGTTGAATTGCAGTTAGTGGATCACAGTCCCATGGTCACTGCTTCTTGGTTATCTTTGCCTGGCTTCGTGCCTGCTTTGATATTACTGTCTGTAGACATGCTGTTGATTGCTAATGTGGTTATGGTTGCAAGGATTCACCAAGTGGATGCTTGATTTAAAGATAATTAAATGTTGACTTTCTAGTTAGATAATTTCAAGTAAATTTGGAATTCAAAATATAATTCTTAGCTGTAAGTTGTTCAGAAGTGAAAACTGATGTTTATATGGTTTTATAATAAACTTTTATTTTCATCTATTTGTATTTCTCGTGTTGATCACTACATATGATCATATGATGTCTGTACTTATTATCTAAAGAGATCAAGCCAACAACTCCTGGAGAGAAGACTTACTTTACAAATCAACCAGAAGACACCCATCAAAATGTGGTTGTTACTGAAGCAGGTAATTCGTTCTTGTGTCTTTAAATCCTCTATGGAGAACAGAAACTGTTTGTTTAAACTCTGCTTTTACTTGGCCCCAACTTTTCTTGTTGCTTGGTGAAATGGTGCACTAAATATGGGCCTATGGACATTTACTTTTGAACTAGGTTAGAACAACTGGTGCTAAGCTAGTTTTTGCATACAAGAACCTGTTTTGTTTTCTTCTGATTGGTTATGTAGCCAGCGCCAAACTAAGTAACCCCCATTACAATCTGAACCTACAAGGAACTTCCCCAAAAACATATAGGAATTATGATGTAAATTTGCACATGCAGTGGCCTGCCAACAGTGTTGTGCTGGTAAATGTTTAAGGATTGGCCAGGGTGAGGTGGGTATAAAATAAAAAGAGATCAACCAAAGAACTTGTGTGCATGTATGCATAATCCATGGACACAGACAGTAGGGTGATGAAAGCCTGGGGCTGGTCTAGAAGAGGTCAATGGGGGAAAGAGGGGGGGCATAGGTAATATTTTCAACAATAAATATTAAAAGAAAAACAAAACAAAACAACTGATTTGTAGACTTTGGGATTTTCTGATGTAAATACTCCCTGGCTGTTTTCAAGCTACCAAAGTGACATCACCGAACAGCAAGGTGGGAAGAATGCAAGCAATGATCTCGCAACCCAGCTGCCTCCAACATACTACTGTCTGCAAAAGAAACAATGAAATCCCAGTGCAGATGGCATGTTAGTTAGAAATCATTTTAGCCTGGCCTTATGCCAGTTGGACAGGAATGGTGACTTATTCTAGCTGCTTTTTGAGGATTGAGTCAAAGACCCAAAGTCTCAAAATCTTTCCACAGGCCATCCAAAATCCAAGAAAGAGTGGGGAATACTGTCTCTTTTTCTTTACTAACACAGATGAGGGATCATGATGGTATTTGGAAAAGGGAAAACATATTTTGTGAATTTTTAAAATTCTTGAAGTCACCTGTTACCTGTTGGAGGCTCAGGAATTGATGAAAATATATTATCTTCAAATTGCCCCATCCTTGGACCTCAGCTAATATACTGTCTCATGTTAACAAAGGGAGTGATATGTAGTTAAATGGATAGTTTGCTTTGGTTGGTCCTCTTTGGCCAGAATTATTTAGATTAATAATGATGTCTGCTTTTGATTGGCTAGAAAATAAATGCATAGTTTTCAATTTGTTTTTCCTGTATGAATATGATGTGAAAGCTTAGTGCGCTTCATTTTTCAGATGCCTGATTTTAAACCATTCAGAACATCTAAACCTAAGTAAAGATAATCAGTAAATAATTACATTAGGGATATTTTCCCCCTATGACATTGATGAAATGTTCAATAAACTCATGCTATCTGGGACTTCAATTTTTTATTTTACTGAGAATACCCAACACGATCAAGTGTGATGGAACAGGATTAAAAATGATTCAGTTTTAGAATTTAATTAAGAGCAAGTCTTCATGCCTCTGAAGGTTTGTGTTGCTGGGTTATGATTATATCATCAGTTAATATTTACATATTTTGGTGTAATGCCAAGGAGTCTTGCATATCATCATGGCACTGAGCTTATTGGTTAAGATAATTATGTATCCAATAAATGAACAGTTCTTTTAATAATGATTGTTATTCTTTAATAATCAGTGCTTGGATCTCTAAATAAGAACTAAGAAGGATTAGTGAAGTGAGATAGCTAAGATCATGAATACATTATGAAAACTAGCCCTATCTGAATAGCAGATTTAATAGTACTTTTGGAAATATGGACACTGAATAGGAGCATGACAACCAATGCAGTATGATTTTGTTTTTGAGTTTTAACAAACATGAATATATTATGTCATTCGGCTATTTAGTACTGAGGGAAAGAACCTTGTTGAGAATCTATTTATTGATAATAGTTTTATTTTACCTTAAATTCTGGGAAAACTTTTTATATAACTTTGGTGTTAGAATTCTGCTTCAGCTGTTTTTTTACACTGGCTGTTTTACATTTGTAGGCATAATTCCCAATCTCATTTATGTTGTCATACCAACAATACCACTGCTCTTATTGATACTGGTTGCTTTTGGAACCTGCTGTTTCCAGATGCTGCATAAAAGGTAAATAATTCATATATGTAAAGGTACCTCGAAAAGTTTTAAATTAGCCTAAAATTATATTTTTGATTTGCCTTAAGAAAGTTCTGATTTTTGTATCTGTCAGTACCAATGCAGTATATACAATCTAGTAAGATATACCTTTTCATAGGATTCATGTATCATCTCATTCCATCCTCACAAGCCATATGAAGTAGGTACCCTTTAGTTTCTATTTTTCAGTTGAGAAGATGGTGGCTTAGGTGGGTTACATGCTTTGCCTTGGGGCTCATAGCTAGTGTATGTGCTGGATCTGAATGCTTGCAAGCTTGCAACATATACAACTATACTGTCCCTTGTTTATTAAATATAAGCATTAATGCTAAACCTTTCAATCTTGACCTCAAGTTGAATGAAAGACTTGATTTTTGGGTAGGTGTACTTTGTAGTATTTTTTCTAAATTTCAAGTCATAGCCTATTTTATTTCAAAAGGATCTTTTAAGTATAGGAAATAAAGCACACTGGTAAAAATAGGTCACTTTTTGGTTGGCAGCTTGAAATAAAATGACACATTTTAATAGCCAGATTCTTAGGAACATTCTTTTTAAGAATATATATATTTTTTATTTCAGAGAGGAAAGGACATAGAAACATCAATAATGAGAGAGAATCATTGATCGGCTGCCTCCTGCATTCCCCACACTGGGGATCAAGCCCACAGCCTGGGCATGTGGCCTGACCGGGAATTGAACTGTGACAACCTGGTTCATAGGTTGACGCTCAACCACTAAGCCATGCTGGCCGGACTTAGTAGCATTCTTTTATATCTGTTTATCCATACCCTTGAGTTAGAGATAAAATTTTTTCCATGTGTATCAATTTGTCAATTCAATTAAAATAATTAATATAGGAAATATAAATATGTATGGAAGGAAAAAGGAAAAGATGTTGGATTTAAATAAGAATGTTTGTTAGAATAGACTAGACCAGCGATTTTCAACCAGTGTGTTGCAAGAATTTTTAAAATATGCATTACCACACTATTTAGTCAGGGGCACTGACTTCTTTTCCCTTAGATTGTAAAAAAAAAAAAATGACAATGGTCAACACAACAATAGCTGTCTGGTGTGAATGAATAAAAATTTGAAATATTTTTTTGTCATATTGGCAAAAAATAATTTTTGGTGTGCCACCGACTGTTAGTAATTAGTTTGTATGTGCCATGAAATGAAAAAGGTTGAAAATTGCTGGACTAGACATCTATATCAGAGTGTTTCTAATAGAAATTGATTAGAATTCGCCCATCATTTTTTTCTTTTGATGTTAATTTTTCTTCTTCTTTTCCTGAAATAAACCCTAAAGAATCCACTAAGTAAAAAAGTCCCAGAGAAACGTTAAATAGATGTAAACTCTAATGTTCACATAAATTTAAAAAAGGATCCAACCTATGATTTACTGGCTTTGTAAGTAAGACATTTTGAATAATAATAATAATAAATAGCCAGGCCAGTATGGCTCAGTAATTGAGCATCAATCTATGAACCAGGAGGTCACGGTTCAATTTCTGGTCTTAAATGGTTTTTCAATATCTTGTACAGAATAAAGACAGTAGTCATATCTAGCTTCTTCCCTTAATTCCTAAGACTGTGGAAAGATGATTTATCATTATGGAAAGCAGTGATGTAGAGGGAGGATTGGATATCAATCCCCCATAACCCAGCCAAACTGTTAAGGAAGAGCTGTAAATAACAAGTCAGCTTGAAAAAAAATAACTTGAAAAATATTATGTAGATCTTCTCACTTCTAAGATAAATATTTCTAAAGTTCCAATAACTGAGTTTTCTCTAAAGTTTGTTTGCCTTCTTCCAAATAGTGTGTGTTAGAGATTCTATTCATTCAAAAGTCTTCCAGGTTTTCCCATCTTGAAGATCTGTGGAGTTTTCATTGTTTGAAATTCTCAGAGTGAAAAAAATAAACCAAAATAGAGTACCTCTAGGTGCCGGAATTAGCTGTAGTGGTCAATTCATTCGTTCTTAGATGCTCCCCTTTTCCTTTCTTCCAGGAAAGCAAGGAGAAACTTCATCAAGGACTCAACTCCATTATCATCTGAGTGCCTTGCAGAAAATTTAAATTCCAACCTGGTACACATGATGGTTTCTATCATTCCATGTCATGTTCAAAATAATAGCTCTTGTTTCCTTAACTAGTAGTAACTCTTAAATACAATACGAATGCTATACAAAAACTACAGTAATAGCCCTAACTGGTTTGGCTCAGTGGATAGAGCATCAGCCTGCGGACTGAAAGGTCCCAGGTTCGATTCTGGTCAAGGGCATGTACGTTGATTGTGGGCACATCCCCAGTAGGAGGTGTGCAGGAGGCAGCTGATCAATGTTTCTCTCTCATTGATGTTTTTAACTCTATCCCTCTCCTTTCCTCTCTGTAAAAAATCAATAAAATATATTAAAAAAACTACAGTAATAATCACATCACCTTTTTCACCATTAAAAAATATTTCATGTTTTTCATCAACTTTGTTTGATTTATTTTCCTTTCTAGATGACTTCATAGATATAGATGTGTTGATCTTACTTATTTAGATGCAAATCTCCAAAACATATATATGGAACATACTATTTTATTAGTAACAAATTCACAGTTAAGTTGAAGTCATTTAGGTAATATTATAAAAATATATTGCTCAGGCTTATTTAGGAAGAATTCCTTTTTTTCCCCCTTAAGGAGTTCTGCAAGGTCAGGTAGAGAGAGTGAAAGGATGGGTAGAAGGCAGACCTGCGGTGATTGGAGAGGGTGCTGTTGGGAGGGTCTGTGGGAGGAAGGAAGTAAAGAGCACGGTACACAGAAACAGGAAGTGGTTAGTTGTGCAGGTGAGGGCTCATTCTCAGGAAACTAGATCAAAAGGAATCTAGAGCTTGATCAGTAGTCTGGAATAGGATGGTGGGTATGCTTAGGAACAGGCTCTTTGCAGGAGCCTAAGAAATGGACATTTTATGGAGAGTTGAAGATAGCACAGCCCAGCCGAGGCACAGGCTGGAAATGTGGGCCGGAACTCTACATCTGATGAGAGTGAAGATCAATCTCAGATCTAGGGAAACTCAGATACCCATAAATTATCAGCACCTGAATCTACATTGTTTTCAGAGACTGAAACAATAATTAAACTTCCAGGGATTAGGTGTCTTAATTGTAGGACCACAAAAACTGATGGGAAGAGGAGAATAGAAAGGTTCTTATACTTAGGAGAAAAGCACTATTTTGATGATTTGGCATTCAATACAGCATATGCTAATGGAGGAATATTCAAAAAGCAACATTTCAAAAATCATATTCCAAGGAAAATGAAGATTTAATGGTGATTACAATGAAAATGTTGGCATTGTGTCAGACATACTTGTGTGTGTGCGTGTGTGTGTGTGTGTGTGTGTGTGTGTGTGTCTGAATTCTAAACTATGACGAATCCAACAGAGAACCATCTATTTTATTTTATTTTCATAATTTCATATGAACTGTTTGCAATCTTCACATGCTGGAATAATCTAGGATTTTTTGTAAGAATGAAAAAGTAGGCTGGTGAGAGAAGAAGGACACTTTTAATTATTTTTTCTTTTTGGTTTTCTGATTGAGTGATATTTTCAACTGTCTTCTAATTCACTGATTCAATTCTCAGCTTCCCCTAATCTGCTGTGTATTCCTACCAATGTGTTCTTTATTTGTGTTATATCATTCTTTAACTCAGACTGTTCCTTTTTCATAGTTACTATATCTTTTTTCATGCTGTTGAGCATTTTTATCATCATTACTCTGAACTCTGTTTCAGATAAATTTCTTATCTCTGCTTCATTTATCTCTTCTGGAGAATTCTCTAGTTCTTTCATTTGGGGATTGTTTCTTTGTCTTCCCATTTTGGCTCTCTGTTTGGGTTTGTGATCCTCTACACCTCTCAATCGTGAATGCAGGAAGGTGTTAAAGGCTGTTTCTGACTAATTAGATCAGGCAAAGACTCAAAGCCTCCAGAGACCGCTTCTGCCTACAAACTAATAGTATTCCAACTTGAATTGCCCCCCCCCCCAGGCAATTGTCTTTAGGTGTGGCAGAGTTTTTTCAACAGGATGGGGCAGTTGCTTATGCCTGGAGGCTAATTGTTACTTTTAATCTCTTAGTGGCCTCAGGGCAAGGTGTTTTCCAATAGGGTGTGTCAACTGTCTTCCCCCACAAGCAAGGCAAATGTTTATGTGGGAAAGATGTTCTCTGCTGTGTGAGGGAATAACTCAGCCCAGGAAACTTGGGGTGTCTGCCTTCTGGGTTCAATCCCCTAAATCTCCAGTCTTGGCTTCTGCTCTCACAGCTCTAGTCCACTTCACCCTCCTTCTGCCAGAGCACAAGGTGGGTGGCTCCACAGGGAATTTTGTATGTTGGCCCTTTAAGAGGGTGCCTGAATTTTCAGCTGTTACTCTCTGGCAGACAGGGTCCCACTGCTTTTCACAGCCAGATGTTATGTGGGTACCCTCCTCAGTTTTGGTGCTCTCTGCTGTAGGGCCCAGCTTGGGGATTAGATCCCAGAGTTCTCAGTGGCACTACTCCCCTCCATCCCCTCCTCCACCTCCCACAGCTGAGAAAACTCTCTGGGACTTCAGTTGTTGTCTGTGGGCACCCGGCCAGCCCTTTCACGCCTTTGCCCCTCCTACCAGTCTCTATGCATTCTCCACTTTTGGTCCCCAGGTGTCTGGGTTATCTCCTGCGAGTTTTCTGTTGATTATTCAGGAAGTTTTTCTATATTTTAGTTGTAATACCAGTTTGTTCCTGGGAGCATGTCTGTGCAGCATCCACTTACTCTGCCACCATTTTCAATCTCTAGAAGGACACTTTTACAATAAGGCTCTGAGATGCATACCTCCACTTGGACCAAGACATGCCCAGTTTGATAAGGAATCTCCTACATTGAACTTATTTCTTCTTATGTTTTTCAGTAAAGGAAGGACAAAAACTAGCCCAAACCAGTCCACACTGTGGATTTCAAAAAGCACGAGAAAAGAAAGTGGCATGGAAGTCTAAAAACTCATTGACTGGCTCCAGAAAAGAAAACAGAGGTTTGTATAAGGAATGGTATCAGAACCTTAGCTTGGAATGGCTTGAAATCTCAGAGGATCTGCAAGATGAACTGTAAGCTCCCTCTTGAGGCAAATATTAAAATGAGTTTTCTATGTTTATTTCATTCACAAAATACGCTGTGCTAATAATGGAGTGAGACATGCTTATTTTGCAAAATGATGCACCCAAACTTCAAGTAAGTGGAATGGGCCATGCGGATAAACTTGCTGTCAACACATCGGCAGTATGTGTGTCAGAAGCAGTTATTTTTGTTCCTTTTACTTTTCATAAGTTGTAATCTAGTTACTGTAATGTAAATTGTATTGAAATTTACGGTGTGCAAATATATTTTACCTTTACGTAAGTGTTTGATAAAAATGGACTGTTCTAGTATTTATTTTTATGGTGTTTCATTTTTCAATACATGCTGTTTTAATTAAAGAAATTTATCACTGTGGTCGACTGAATTCACAAACATAAATATATTACATAGGAAAAAGTTTCCTTTCTAGAAATGGTTCATCTTTCAGTTTCTCTGCTTTGGATCAGACAATGTGTAGGAGATCTCTTCAGAAATAAGAAGTTATTTCATTAACTGTGGTATAAATCCACACAAATATTTTACTTAGAGGCAAGAATTGTCTAAGTTCAATTGTGCAAGACATGTGCCTTACAATTATTTTTAGTTTAAAATTCAGCAGATTTTGTAATAACTTTGTTAATAACTGTATAAATGATATACTCAATCTAGAACGAAAATAGTGGTATATACATTATAAATCATATGTCTTCACATGTTGCCTATATAACCACAAGTAGCTCGCTGAGGGCTCTGGAATCAATTTGGTCCCTCCCTTGACCACAAAACAAAGGGTTGTTTGGGGTTTGGGAATAAAACTGGAGGCAGATAGCTGCATCGTTTGTCTAAGGTTTTCTTCTAGCTCTGATTTGCCTCTCTCAGCAAATGCAGGGGTTTTACAGTTGGGACCAGGTGAGTGGTCACATTGGTGTGGAGGTAAGCACAGTACACTCACATTTCAGCGAGGAAAGAAAGTATGAGTTAGTGTGAAAAAACGACTGGAGGGCATGGATGATCACTGTTCATTGTTAAGGCTTTGGCTGGGAGAGTAAATTGGGGCCCTTCTGTCTTATCCCCTGGTTTCTTCAATGCTTGTGGCTTCTTCTTCTCAAGAGAGAGCTGTAACTATCTGGTCTTCACATGTCCCTGTGCTCCTTTGAACCAAATAAAAAGTTCTTGTTTCTGAAGAATGAGCGTTCGTGTCGTCTAAATCTCTCAAGTGGACAAAATACACCTATGTTTGCATCAGTACATGAAGATGAGAACAAGTTACTGTTTAAGGGTGGTGAGAATGAAAGTGGTGGTTATAGAGCATTTTAAACCTCAGCTTTTTCCAGACAGTCCTTTTCCATTAATCAAGAGATCTCACTAAGGCAGTTCACAACTAGAGTTGGTTGACAAGACTAAAAGGCAAAATAGAAATTAGTGGGCATTGGCCCCTCTTCAGCTGCCTAGACACTGAGGGAATGGGCAGCTGCATCCTAGGCTTAGATCAGCCCATGTTGAGCACTCCCCTTTCTTTTCTTGGCCACCCATCTTTCTGGGCAGAATGAAGACCAGCTGCTGGGATCTACCTCATTTCACCAAGCTCCCACCATGCCTGTCTTCCTTTCGTGAAGACTCGATGGGAGGAGACTAGACTTTCCTCACTCTCTCTGCCTCCCATGACTACAACAGCTGCACGCAGGAGAGGCAGAGCTGTGGGGAAGGGCCTTGTTGTGCCTTTCATCTTGATCCAGGCCTGGATAACTCTTCCGGCATTAATTACTAAACTCCTAAGTTACCGGGAGTGGGACAATGAACTTCACACTTATTAGAAGATGGTCAAGAGACTGTCCTAAGGGTTTGTTAACATTGCAGCTGACCTTTGAAAAGTATAAAAGGACTACATGGTGTGGATGTTTTTTTCAGAGCATAGTTCTTAATGTGTGTTTTGAAATGCAGGTGAATTCTGGAATAATATCCAGGTAGTAAATCAAAGAGTACACCCTACCCCTGCTGTTCCATCCTTCCTAACTATCAGGAACAGGTCATTGGAAAGGTCTTGAATAGTGTCTTCAGGGACTCTGGCTTTCTGTCCTCAGAATAAATTCTATAATTGCTCACCAGTGGTCACCAGTACCTCTTCAGTACTTCAATAATGATCATTCCTTTTAGGTGTAGCCCAAATTTCATTTCTTCCATAAGACCAGTCTGTGCTGATTGATCCCATCTTTCAGTTGCTATAAACCTTACTCTCTCCTCTATTCCTTTGGACATATAGACCCATGCAAGAATGTGTTTGTACTAAGTAGGTAGGAATTTTGTCTTCCTAAAGGAGTTAATATATTTTGTGTGGCATGCGAAATTGAAGTTTGCACTTACTCTGGAAATGATCCAAGAGATTAAAGCCATGAAACAAATTCATTTATTCCACATTTTTGGTCTTCTAATGGGCAATTCAGCTGTGTTTAAATAAATGCTGCACATGTTAGAAACATCCACTGTAACACACACAAATCGGGAAAAATAAATTTTTACTAGTTGCATTTCTTAAATATGTATACTTATTTTTGAAAGTTTTAAAAAAATACCAGCTTGTAAGAAATAGATAGTATGAATAATTCAGGTAATAAAGGATCCAATAAAAAACTACAATATCAGTAAATTTACCTTTTATTTTGATAGTAGGGCAATATATAGACTTGTGCTTATTTGCTGTTTAATTAGCTTATTTGAGAGGGACATGCAATCAACTTAGTCCAGGTCTCTGACATGAGCTTAGAATACATACTTTTTATGAGTAGGGGAACCATTAAAAATATGCTCAAGATGAATTAGAAATGTGTTTGGATAGAAACGCAGGAAGACTATTGAGTTTTCGATAATAGCAGTTTAAGCTGAAAGTAGGTAATTTCCAGCAGTTTATTTCGAACAGTAACAGACCTTGTGCAAAACAGTCAATTTCACTTCTTTTTCTAATTTTTTTTTAAATAGGAGAATATGATAAAAATAATGATTAAGAGCAAAGAGAATTATATCTGTGAAAAAATAGCTGCTCACAATAAAAACCAAAATGTATTATTTAAAAGTTACTTAGTATTGTAAAGATTAATTTAGTTTTTTTGTTTGTTTGTTTCTCTCTCCCCCAGCATTTCAGTGGCATAGATAAAAATAATGACTTTTAGAAACTATATTTTACAAAATTCTAAATTTCCAAACTTTTTAGAGTGGAGTGAGAAAAGTGCCTGACTTTTGTGTTTGGTTTAGGAAATATTTTAATGGAGAAAACTTTGTATCCATCCTGTGAACCTCGGGCCCCGGGCATACACCCCTGGGCGATTAGGCCGCGCACACTCGTATCCAAATGATGTCACACCAGCCAGGAACCATCTGTTGTTTTCTTGGCACATTAATGGTCCTCCTGAATCCCCCTAAATAATAAATCACAAAAGAAAATTGTGTGTTGTCAATTGATATAAATATATACAATTGATATTGCTTAATTGATTTGCATAATTAAAGGAGTTATGTTCTAAGTATTATGAAGGGATCTGTGGAAAAGAATTATTCTGCATTATATGCTTTACAATAACTAAAAACTCACACATAAAGTTGATTTTTGTTTTCTTGAGTAGCATTAACTTTTCAGCATTAGACAAACACAATCAGATTTGAAAAAAAAACACTTAATGTTTAATGGAAAGAGGCAAATCTATGATGTAATTTCTAGTGATAGGTGCACATGTTTTCATCTTAGATTTCAATCAATGAAATGTTTTTAATTTTCATAAACATTAATTATAACAGATCCTAGTAGAGCTAATCTCATAGATTTTATTTGCACACTAGACACCCGGTGCATGAAATATGTGCACGGGGGGGAGGAAGGGGTGTCCCTCAGCCAAGCCTGCACCCTCTTCAATCTGAGACCCCTCAGGGGATGTCTGACTGTTCCACAGGGATTGGGCCTAAACCGGTAGTCAGACATCCCTCTCACAATCTCACAATCCGGGACTGCTGGCTCCCAACCACTCGCCTGCTTGCCTGATTGCCCCTAACCACTCCCCTGCCAGCCTGATCAATGCCTAACTGCTCCCCTGCTGGCCCAGTTGCTCCCAACTGCCCTCCCCTGCAGGCCTGGTCCCCCCCAACTGCCCTCCCCTGCCAGCCTGGTCACCCACAACTGCCCTCCCCTGCAAGCCTGGTCCCCCCCCTCCCAACTGTCCTCCCTCTGCCAGCCAGCTTGTGGTGGCCATCTTTGACCACATGGGGGCAGCCATCTTTGTGTGAGGGTGTGATGGTCAATTTGCATATTACCTCTTTATTATATAGGATATGTAATGCAAATGAACATAATGTAAGCATATAGTAGCATTAATGACAAAATTGACAAGTATTTTTTCATCTTAATTGTGTAAAAGTGTTTAAATTAATCTGCATTTTTATATAGAAATTTAAAGCTTTGTGTATTTTGTTTGAAATCACTGATACAATAGATTATTTCAATCCAGGCTTGATGTCACTATCTTTGGGCCTTATATTTAAGGGAAAAAATGTGTTCTATAAAAGTACCTTTTCTCTTTTGGGCGCAGAGGAGCATAAATGCATTGGCAAACATAAGTTACCTCTATTCTAGGTGTAACAAATGTCGGCAAGCTGTTTGAAAACAGGGACTATAGTTTTCATTTTTGCATCTTAAGCCTTTAAGCATATTAAGTCCATAATAAGAATTCAGAAATATTTATGCAACACTATCAGTCCAAGGTAGGAATAAATATAGACTCAATATATGACTAGAAATTATTAAAAATAAACCTCAACTGTTTTGATATTTTTAAAACAAGTCATTGGGTTTTCTTCATGTTTTCTAAAATAATTTACTTTTTTAAATAGACAG